TATCAGCAACCAAGTTTTCAATAAAAACTAGAAAGAAAGATAAATCTATTACAAACAAGAAAACATTAGAAATGAATTTTCCAACGTAAACCCGACACATGGGTAAAATTTACCCGAACGAAATTTTGCTGTCTTCCCTGTCGAAAACGGTTAGGTGAGAAAATAGCTGAGTCATGCCTTCCAACAAAGGGATTAGTTAACTAATTTTGACCCTAGTATAGTACTGCCAACTCCTTATATTTTCAGAGCGGTAACGTTCGAAAAGTTGTTCTGGGTAAATTTTACCCATGTGTCGGGTTCTAGGGTTAAGAAATCGTTGAGCGCTCACTCAACAGTTGTGCCTGCTGAACGTGGCTATGGATTTCTTAATATGATTGGCTGGATCTAAAAGTATTAACCAATCATACTGAGCGCTCATTCAACAGTTGTGTCTGCTGAACGCAGCCACTCTTCAACAGTACTGCTGGGTCTACAATGGCCGCGTTCAGCAGATACAACTGTTGAGTGAGCGCTCAATGATTTCTTAACATGATTGGCTGGATCTAAAAGTATTAACCAATCATACTGAGCGCTCACTCAACAGTTGTGTCTGCTGAACGCGGCCAATGAGAGTCGCAGAGTCGCAGTCGTAAGAATAATCGACTGCGATTGGTCAATTCCGTCAAGCACATAAGAATTGACCAATCATAGTCGACTATTCTTACGACTACGACTTTACGCCGACGACAATTGGTTAGACGTGGCCGTATTGGATCCGGACGGAGCCAGGAGCCAAGAACTTAATAATAATACGACTTTACGACTTCTATGTAGACGAGGCTTTACCTGGTCGATGGCCGTCGTCGGCGACGCACGACTGCAAGAAACGGCCTGGCCGGGGTGCATTGGCGAACGCCGCGGACACGTGGTGGGCGTGGCCGGCAAACCACACCACCCGGCGCGGGCCAATCGCGCGGCGCTACGTCACGCGTGGCCTCTCTCGCGCTATCTCGCGTGAGCGTTATCGGCTGTTGCGGTCGGTCCCTGCGATAGTGGTATACGTGCGTCTTCTTCCCACGCAGTCACCTCGCTATCTTTGTCCCTCGTCGACGCGCTCGGTCGACTTGGGGCCTCTTTAACTGGCACCCCGCAGTCGCATCAGCTGTTGCTCGCACGCTGCCTGGCAGTACACGATCGACCGTCGTAACGTGAGCATCGTCTTGCGTTCAGGCGCACTCTGCTAAAGAATCGTAAGCGCGTTACGTACAGAATCGAGAGCATTTCCCCGGGACAAGAGGAGAACACGCACTCCCAGTCCCGCACACGGGAGTGACGGAATCCCGTGATAGACCGCGGTTTTTCGTGGCTTCGGCGCGAGCTGCGTAGTTGTCTCCCCCCGTGAAGGACACGAGGGACGGGATCGTCATCACGTCAGTAAGCGACCCGGCAACATGAATCTGTCGTTCGCCGGCTGCGGCTTCCTCGGCATCTACCACGTCGGCGTGGCGGTCTGCTTCAAAAAGTACGCGCCGCATTTGCTGCTCAACAAGATAAGCGGCGCGTCCGCGGGCGCTATCGCCGCGTGCTGTCTGCTCTGCGAGCTGCCCCTGGGTGAGTGAACTCTCTCTCCTTTTTTCCCGCCGCTTAGTTATGTAAAACGGAGCCGCTCGAGTCCCCGCGGGCGGATCGCACGTGTCCTACGTCTCTCCGTAACTTCTCCTCCGCCGCGACGTTGTTCGCCGTGAAATCCTCTGCCCCGTCGATCCTTGTTAATGCGAGTATCAGCAACTGGAGCCTCCTCTGTTGAAAGAAATGCAAATGTTAAGTAATATTAACCCTACAGGCCTGGGGCTCGATTCTTGAATTTATTCACTGAAAAAACAAAAATCTGATAGATTCAACCGGTCGTCTGTTAGAAAATGGACGAATCGGAATTCATTTAGGATTTACCAGATGTGTAGTGAAGTCAAGTGAAGTCTAGCAAACATCTGGTTATGAAATATCGAGCCCTATTGTGCTAACTAGAAATTCTGTTTCGTTTAGCTAAAATACATTCTGTCATACATGTGTTGGTTGATACAATCGAAGCATTTTTCTCAGTGAAGAATCGAGTCCCTGTTCTACAATACGTCAATGGTCTAATGAGAATATTTCTTTTCAATTTTTTGCCACGTTTCGACACCCGACGGCGACATACATCGTATTGTAGCCTTGTAGGACAGGCCTTAAAGCCTATCATACAATGCCAGGCAACAGGCAATAGGAACAGGGAATAGAATTTTTGACGCGTTGGATTCGTTGAAAATTTTCTTCCAACCAATCCAACGCGTCAGAAATTCTATTCCCTGTTCCTGTTGCCTGTTGCCTGACATTGTGTGATAGGCTTAAGCCTATCACACAATGCGAGGCAACAGGCAACAGGAATAGGGAATAGAATTTTTGACGCGTTGGATTCGTCAGAAATTTTCCTTCAACCAATCCAACGCGTCAAAAATTCTATTCCCTATTCCTGTTGCCTGTTGCCTGTTGCCTCGCATTGTGTGATAGGCTTTAGACTGATGGCAGAGATCAATCCGTAAACGCTGTCTCAGTCGTAGACGTAGGGCAAGGCAGAGAGAAACGTAAGTCGTATACGACTTACGTTTCTCTCTGCCTTGCCCTACGTCTACGACTGAGGCAGTCTTAAGCGTTTACGGATTGTTCTCTGCCATCAGCCTTAAACAGTTGAAAAAACATCGACCGCTCCTAGTGGTAACAATATAGTTACCATAGTCATAACAATAGTCATAACAAAAGAAAACTTGTGAAGAAAAATAAAAGAGAAACATTAGTTTTTTATTTTCTTTTAAAAATTTTTTTATACTATCGTCAATGAATAATCTCACCTCACCTTCGTTTCTTTTTCTTCTTTCGCTTTGTCAATCTTTCTCGTCACCTTCGGACTGCCGTTTCAGTGAAATAAACATTATGTGCCACAAATAAATTTTCAAAGACTTTTTCTCAGTATAACGTCTTTTCTTCTCCCTATTCTTCTTTTCACGCAACAACAATTGTTCGGCAGTTTCTAGTCTCCTCTCTCTTTTTTTCTTTTACGAATTATGTCTTCCCCTTCTCCCTTTATGACTGTCCTTATTCCTAGTCCTCGAACATTTCGTTATCATTTTCCACAGAGACTGTCATAAATTGTTCCAGTTATCGGAATCGTGGAAAGATCCCATTCGATTCTCTCACGTTTGTTTACATGACGAGATACCGAATTACTTCGTCGCGAAAATCTTCCTGAAAAAGAATTATGCGCTACGTAACGTCCGTGGTCGCAGGCTCGTTCGATTACATCCGAAAATTAATAAAACGTCGTAATTATCTGAATAATGCGCGGTCAAATGAAATTACAAGTTGTTGCACAATGAGGGGAATCGGCGAAACGGACGGGATGGATTTATTATTATGCCGCCTATAATTCATTCGCGTGTGTCGTTACCGCGATAACGAGAGCGACCGCGCTAATTAGCGCGCGACGCGGTAAATTTGTAACGCGCTGTCCTTTTCTCATATCGCTCGCTGTGATAGCGTTACATATCGCACCGTGGGGCAATGTCGTTAAAATTCCTCCCTCCCCCCCGCGGCGTTTATCGCAGGTGCGATACGCACGCGTGCTCGCTAAACCCGCCCGATAGGCACAAGTGAACCGTGTAAGGGTACACTGAAAAAAAAGTCTGATAGATTCAACCAGTCGTCGTGTTAAAAAATGGACAGATCAGAATTCCTTTAGGATTTACCAGATGTGTAGTGAAGTTCTCGCAAACTTCTGGTTATGAAATATCTTTCATGGTAAATCCTAAAGGAATTCTGGTAATTCCTATAGGATTACCAGATTTATAGTGAAGCCTAGCAAACTTCTGGTTATGAAATATCTTTCACGCACTGAAAAAAATTTCTGGTTGAATATGGACGAATCAGATAATTCCTTTAGGATTTACCAGAATTCCTTTAGGATTTACCAGAATTTCTGTAGGATTACAGGAATTCTGGTAAATCCTAAAGGAATTCTGGTAAATCCTAAAGGAATTATCTGATTTGTCCATATTCAACCAGAAATTTTTTTCAGTGCGGTAAATCCTAAAGGAATTCTGATTCGTCCATTTTCTAACAGACGACTGGTTGAATCTATCAGATTTTTTTCAGCGTGATATTACATCTGTCGTACGACAAGTTTTTCGAGCACGTCGATTGGCTGCAGAGTGGAAAAAAGTTCTCGATCTCTAGAAATTTTCTATTCTGCGGCCCGTTCTATTCTACGACAATCCTTTGTGCGTTGACTTCCGACAGCGACTCGCGTCTTACTGCGGAATCTTAATTTCTGTCCGAGGTCTAAATAAGGAGTTCGCCTTCACAGGTCTCAATCTCTCATCGTAATAATAATAATATTACGTAGCGCGTGTTATTGTTCCTATGTATGTACATACACACGCGGTGTTTACGTGGCGAACACCTGCGATAGAGCCGACGATTGACGCCGCGACGATCCTTGGAGGCGCCCGAGCTCGCTGCGACTTTCGAAGCCGCGATCGGTGCGTGCGGCTACTTTATCGCTGACACGCTTTCACAAGTCCTGAAATAATTCGCAAAGTATTGCGTAAACGTCATCGTCACCCTTACACCGCCTCCGGCCTCGTAAATGGGTCGCATATGCCTAGACGCGTGTCCGCGCGGGGGCCGCGGGGCGCCGCGTGACACGCGGTTTATCGCGCGGGCGAACGTTTTGTTTCCCCGCGGCGAGGCAAAACGTGCGTTGCCGCTTTCATTATCACGAGCAGCAGGATAAACACAAGCGGCACGCCTGTGCCCTCGTATCTCCCCGCACGCACACTGCGCCGCAACCATTATGCGTTCACGAATGACACAATACCGAGGCCGAGAGCCCCGGTAGCTTGTCACGCGCAAACGAGCGCGATTGTGAATTTCCGGTCTTTTTGCGTCAAAAGGGGAACGAGAGATTAAACTTTCACTAAAAATAGTTTTGCTATCATTTTATTCTAGATTTTAGAATTTTTCATTTAAGATTAAAATATTCCTTTCTCTATAATAAATATGATTGGCGCTATGTCGATCCTATTTTATGATCATTGAAGTGTAGTAGCATTGGATCCGGAAATTTTCTCTGTGGGTGCAGTTTTATCAAAGTTCTGTGTGACAGAAATAGAGAAAGAGAGAGAGAGAGATTTCTATCACTTTTTCTTTTTCTGTTGCGTTTTGCTTTCTCTTTCTTTCTTTCGGGAGTTGCCAGAAATAGAAAGAGCAATCGAACGTTGATGAAAAGAGCATCTGCCTTCTTTAGGATTGTTCCAACCTCTTGGTAAGTTAACTAACAGTTCAATCATACGCGTGTCTTTATTTTTCCTTCAACTTACAATTAGCCAAGGATAGACACATAATTTAACTATTAGTTAGCTTACCAAGGGGTCAGAAAGACCGGCTATTAAAGAGCTACCTCGGAGTATAATTTATGGCTTATGTTTTTAATTGCGCTTTCGTATTTGGGCCATGCAGGTGACGCAAGTTTGTTACGAAAGTTCCGTTGACGCTCGAAGTATCGAATAGCGCTTTTATTTAAGTCGCACCGAAGAGTGTTACGTCTGTTTTTTTTTAATATACGCATCGCCGAACGCAGCGAGCTTATTCGTGAATCATTTTCGACGGATGCGTTCGCAGCTGCGAGGTCGAGCGTCACTGCACTTCGCCGTCTTGCGCAAGTCCTAATTACAGAAACGAGACGAGTTACGTATACGGAAAACGCGCGTACGTCTTGAATTCAATTAAACGAGAGACTGCCGGGACACCGTGACTCACCGATGAGATTTAACTCGGTAGACTTCGGCACGCACTTGAAGAAACGCCACTTTGTCTTTCACCCGACGACCATGATTTATTATTCCGCAAATTACACCTTGACTTTACATCAATATGCAAAATACTTGTGAGAATGCTGCTAACCTGTTTAAAGCGACTGATTTTCAGAAGCGAATGACATTTGTCGAGACCTTCGGAGAGACACGTACAAAGATCTTGTCGCAAATTGACGTGAACAACGAGAGAAATTATCTCTCTATTAGTATATTAGTATAATCAGTATATTAGTATATTAGTATAATTGTTCATCTAAAGTCTCGTCTACAATACGTTTGAGTAAATAAAAATAAATTCACGAATTGATTTTCAATTAAATTTTCCCAGTCCTAAAACTTGGGTGAATCGCCGGTTAAAGTGTAATAATTCCACGCGTGTCTCCCATTAATTGTTACTCTCGTAGAATTCAGTCACGCGTTTCCGTGGCGTGCAAACAAGGTCATTTTCCATAAGACGGACAACAGGCCGATCAACAGCTGCGACAAATATGTTTTCGTGCGTTCGCGAGTGACGATGAAAATCATGGTCATGCGACGCAAATCGGCGGATAGAAAGAGAGTTGGGCGCTATCTCTCGTTCTCTCCGCCTAGATATGCGTGCATCGGTGTCAGTGGAACTGGGTTACGGCAGCACGTTTACTGCTGGACGACCGATTGGCGGTCTTTACTTTTCACTCCGACCGGAAGGAAGTCGGCGCGCGAATC